TTTGATTACCCTATATCGTGATACATCGCTATATCGCGATGCAAAACTGACGATGCATCACGATATAAAATTTCTTATATCGCCCAGTCCTAATCACGATATTAGCGGATTCCAGCGCAGTTTTGAATACTCAAAATGGCGAAAATCTGCCAAACCAAAAAAATCAATTGGCCTATTCCAGAAAAATCACGTGTAAGTAAGTGTCTCGGTAGCTCGAATTAGCAAAAGTTTCAAATTTTATATTGAGAAATTCCTTGAAAATTTCGTCGAATTATAAATTTTTGATTAGCTGAGAACCAACAGTCTTGGGAAAGGTGGAATTCTGCGATATTCCAAGAAAAGTTATATGCCCTGCTACTAATTTTTGGATCCAAAAGGATAATACGAAAAAACCGGAGTTCCGGGATACAATCACCCTTGCATAATGTGAAAAAATCAACTGGAACATATTATTTTATCTGTAAAAAACTTTTTTTTAAAGAAAGAATTATGTTGACTTGTTTTGAAGAAATGTATGAAAGTTGTTTCGTATAAAAGTTTGAGAAACTTTTAATTTATTAAATAATTACAGCTTTAACTAAGTTTAAAAACTAACAGAACATGAAATTAGTAATGGTCTATTTTATTTTAAGCATTTTTAAAAGGTATGCATTTAAAAGGTTTTACATAGGTATGCATGTCAAAATCTTACGGAAACATTTAAAAATAGTCAAGTATACGAATTCCAATTAGCAATTAAACTCAAAATTATAAAAAAAAAAAATATGAGTGAGTTTTCATTTGTCAATATTCAAACTGAAAAAATTTACTTATTAAAAAAGAGCCAACTCTGATTAGAACAGTGTAAAAATTCTTACAGCATACTCAGCTTATCATAATTACATGGTTCCTTTCTTTTTTATTTTCATAAAGAGATTGTTACCTTCGTTGGGAAGGTCCTTGCCCAAAATGTGCTCGAAGGGGAAAACTTCCTGTTGCTGCTTCAAATTAAAGAACATTTTATGACCTGATGGATGTGTATATAACATTATATATAATTCAAATATATTTTAATTCTATATGTAAAAAGATTTTATTGCAAATGTAATTTTTATATTTATTTATGAAAAATATGAATGTTTTACTTAATAAAGATTTAATTTTATTGTGTATTAGTTTTAAGTTATTTAAGGACCAATACTCTCATCGATATTTTTATTAAAAGTTTGATAACATTCTGTGGATAAATGCTTTCTGTGCAAAATTTTTTCGTTTGCTCAAACTTCAGGTATTTTTGCACATAACATATTTTTAACTCTTTTGGTTATTTACCAAACTCATCTCTGTAGTATGAATCAATATAGAGTTCTACAGAAATAAAAAATTTTCAAACAAATTGCACTAAAATGAGGTGGTGGTGAAAGAACAGTTACAAGAGTTAATCAATGCTTGAAAAAAATTTTTTAATTGAGATTTTTTTTTGCAGAAAGTTTATCATAGTCCGCATACATATTCCAGGGTGCGTAGCATTTTTAAAGAGTGCTTAAAGGCGCTTATTTTCGATTTTCAAAAGCCCTTAAAGGTGTTTTTTTTATTGGGTGTTTTTAAAAAGTGCTTAATTTTCCCTTTTCCAAAATAAGATTTTTCCTTTACCATGTTGATTTTCGTTACGAATTATGCAGGAAGGAATTGTTCTATTCAACGTTTTCACAATTAATTCAACCTCAATCAATTTCGGCGTATCGTCAGTCTGTAGCGTATTAAAACACCATTCGATATACACGTTAAAAAAATTTTGACAATTGTCAAAAACAATGCCGAAAGTTTTTTTTTTTTTGACATGACGCTTAAAACCAGATAAAACCGTCAATTGTCAAAAACTTTATAATCCTACCTAATTGTGATTTTTTTTTTCTAAGTGCTTAAAAATATTATTTTAGTGCTTGAAAAGTACTTATTTTTTGTTGAATAATTTAGCTATGCACCCTGATATATATATACCAGGGTTACCGCAGAAAAAAATGAACAAAATAGTTGCTTTTAGTAGCCTAAAGCAGCGGTTCTTAACCTATGGGTCGCGACCCAAAATTGGGTCACGAAGCATATTTCTTGGGTCGCGCTGAGTCGAACCAAAAAAGTTAGTAATACACCAAGTAATAAGTAACACCAACACCTCCTAGAAGAAGTCATTGTGGCTTACTCAGCCTAGGCTTAATGAGGTACCTGGGTAACTCTATACCCTTAATCCTCGTTCATAATAATTAAAAAAGGCACATGAGTCAAAATTAGTTTAGCATATCAAGGTGCAAAATTAATATAAGCAATTATTATAGCAAATATAAATTAATATAATCGATGAAACCGAACGAACTTAAAAGACATTTTGATGCAAAACATAAAAATTTTTTCTTTGAGGGAAAAGAAGCCCATTTAAAAAGACAGCGTTTGGATGCACCAAGTAGTAGTGGTTTTATAAATTCTGCCAAACAAGCTACACTTGCTTCTTTTCATGTGGCTTGGCATATTGCAAGACAAAAGAAACCCTATAATATTGCTGAAAAACTTATAAAACCTGCTGCCATTGGCATGGCACGTATCATGTGCGGAGATGAAAGTTCAAAGAAATTACAAAAGATACCATTATCAAATGATACAATTCGTTTACGAATTAATGATATGTCATTTGATATCAAGAATGAACTTATTTCTGCTATAAAAACTGCTGGTTTATTTAGTATTCAACTGGATGAAACGACACATGTAAATAAAGATGCTCAACTCATGGTTTACGTGCGGTATCCAGGTTTAACAGATATACAGGAGGACATTTTATTTTGCAAACCAATGTCAACAACAACTAGAGGTAAAGATATTTTTCTTATGGTCGATTCGTTTTTTAAAGAAGAAGGATTAAATTGGAATCAGAGTTTCAGTATTTGCACCGACGGTGCAGCTGCCATGAAAATAAGATCCACAAATTATATCGATTCATTGTTTGTTACATAGACAAAATCTTGCTTCAAAAAAATTATCAACCGAATTATGTATCGTTTTGGATGAAATTGTTGCGGTAGTCAATTTTATCAAATCAAGAGCTCTTAACTGTAGAATTTTCCGCGAACTGTGTTTCGAATCTGGTGCAGAATACGAACATTTATAATATTATTCTGAAGTTAGATGGCTGTCCCGGGGCAAAGTTGTTCAAAGAGTATTATCATCACGGACAGAAGTCGAATTATTTTTGAGAGAAAAGAAACACCCATTAGCATCTAAATTCTCCTAGTTAAAGTGGATTACTCAAGTTGCTTATTTGTCACATATTTTATTTGAAATAAATAATATAAATACGTCTATGCAAGGACGTAATCATACTATTATTGAATTAACTGAAAAAATTACATGTTTTAAAAATAAACTCAAATTATGGAGAAATAAGGTTGAAGTGAAGAAACTTGCTTCATTCCCGACTCTTAATTTACTTGTTGAAGACAATAATATTGATATCACAGATTTTGAAATACAGAAAATTATTATTAATCATTTAGAAAAACTAATAGCAGACTTTGATCGATATTTCCCTGCAGACGATGTTTTCAAATATAATTGGGTTCGAATGCCATTTAATTTTGATGTAAGTGATTTGCATGAGGAATTTGTTAATATTAATCAATTTCAAGAACAATTAATAGAAATACAAAGTGACCAAGCACTTCGAAACAATTTCTACAAAAACACTGAATCTTTATGTGCTTTCTGGTTAAAATTAAAAACCGAAAAGCCAATAATTGTTAAAGAAGCCCTAAAAGTATTATTGCCCTTTTCAACAACATAAATGTGTGAGGCTGGTTTTTCGGCTTTGTGTGTAATCAAAAACAATTACAGGAACAAGTTAAATCCTGAAATAGATATAAGGTGCTCCTTGACAAGCATTCAACTGAGGTTTGAAGATCTTTCAAAATGTATTC